GTTTTTGAGTTAAGTACTTTTAGAATAGATCATGGTGTTGAAATTAGTTTTAGTTGCATATTATGTTTTGAGAGTTTCAATAATATTGAGATATTATTTTGTGTCAATAACTGTGCGAAGGAGATATATTGATTGGTTAGTTTTGAGTTCTATTTTAGAGTGGGGGAGGTCATGTTGAAATTTGTAATTTTTTTTATTGTTTGTGTTTTGAATCTAAAGGTTAGTTTTTTAGTTAAGTTTTTCAAATAGATCATGATATTGAAATAGTTAGTTTTAGTTACATATTAATTTTTGAGTTGCAATAATATTGAGATATTATTTTATGCGATTAGGTTGGAAGGAGATATATGGTTGGTTAGTTTTGAGTTATATATATATTCTAAAGTGGAGAGGTCATGTTGAAATTTGTAATTTTTATTATTTGTGTGTTTTGAGTCTAAGGCTAGTTTTTGAGTTAAGATTTAGAATAGATATTGCATTTGATATGAACGTGTTAAGAGTTTTAGTTGCATATTAATTAGCTAATTTTAATTGCAATATTGAAATATTATCATAGGTCTGAARGAAATATAGTTGGTTAGYCACGTCKCGGSAACCAACTAKTTTTTTAATTAAATTATTTACGAAATAATGACGGTCAATGTCTGTCATGAAATATAGTCATTCCACGACGCACATACGAGACGTAGATACAATGACGTACAAACAATGACGCTCAAATGATGACGTACAAACAATGACGCACAAACGATGATGTACAAACATTGTCGCACATATAATGACGGGTAAAAACCGCCATGCAAAATTAAACGAAACAAGGACATTCGTAAAGATGTCGGTCACCGTCCGTCATTGTTATCCATGGAAAAGAAGATTTACATGACGGGCAATGCCCGACATTAAAACTGTCCGTCATGAAAAAGAAACAAGGACACTCGAATAGATGTCTGTCACTGACCGACATGGTTACTTGTTAATGTCGGGCAATGCCCGTCATAAAAAGACGAATTTGTTGTAGTGAAGCAGAATGGCTTAGAAATTTCCTTAAAGATATTCCATTGTGGCCGAAGCCTGTAAGTGCCATATGTATTTATTGTGACAGCTTAGCAGCCTCAATGAGAGCTAAGAATAATGTCTACAATGGGAAGTCACGACACATAAGACGCAAGCATAATTCTATTAGGCAATTGCTCTCTAATGGAATAATTTCCATTGATTATGTAAAATCAAAAGAGAATGTTGCAGATCCTTTGACGAAAGGATTGTCAAGAGAGCAGGCTGCTTATACATCGAGGGAAATAGGGCTAAAGCCTATGAAATGAAATATCTGGTGGTAACCTAACCTAGTTGACTGGAGATCCCAAGATCTATGTTCAATAGGCAAACTGGCTGGATAATTTATAGTTGACACACTAAGAAACTTATAGTTTCATCCCATGTCTATGATGTTATGAGTGTAATCTGTTGATGTTAAGGTCATATTGATATCTTGATTACAAGAGGAGTAGTGGCAGATTACTCTTAATCAATATCACCTATGTGAGAGTAGAATTGGGTCGGTTCTATGAGAATTTTTCAAATGGCTTATGTTCTCTAAAGCTCTCATGAATTCAAGATCTTGTCCAGGACGAAATGGATACAACCGTATAGAACTCTAAGATACAAGATAAGTTATGTGTGATATTTGTTGTCTTAATTTATCATGAGAAGGATAGTTCCAGAGACAGTTCTCACTATTTCTTCGGTAAATTCGATAAATATTCACTAAGGAAGGTTCAAGTCCAAAAGACACATCTCCTGATGCATAACTTATCTATTTGCTCTCAACGTCTTGGTCGTGTTTTGTTTGTCTCAGTTTCTTTCATGTGGGGGATTGTTGGACTTAAAGGTGTGAAAGAAAGTGTAATTTAAAGAAACTTATTCACATATACTTTGTGAATATGTTTGTGGTTAATTTTTTAATTTTGGAGTTATTTATTTAAATGGAAAAGTTGTTTCTTTATTTGTTAATGTGTAACTTTATACATGTTAAAGTTACCTATGTAACATATGCAAAAATGTTACATATGAGTTTAATTTTGTGTAATAAGTTACATGTTTGGACAACTATATATAGTTGTGGTTTTGTTCATTTTGAGATATCCAAGCATACATCAATTGAGTATTCTCCTCCTCTCACAAGAATTCTCTCTTCTTTTTGAGTTCTTGTTCTTGTTTGTGTTGAGAGCAAGTGTCTAAGAGTTCTGCCAGATCCGTTCAAAGTTCCAGTTCTACCGGAGTTAGTCATTATATCCTGCTGAGACGATCGCTGTAGTCTGCTAGCAACTTGTGCAGGGAGAATAATTGTCTTCAGGTCAGCTCTATTGAAGCATGCCTCGATTATTTTGATCAAGTTTTGGTGTTAATCAAGTTGTCAAGATCTATAATTGTTTGTAGCCAGTTATATTGTAAATTGTTGCTATTATTATCCAGTTTACATATACAGCGTATATTTATCCAAAAATTGGAAGCCGAAGTCGTGCCTCAAGACCAAAATGGTATATTTTCGCATATGTTATGTCAAACTTTTGTTAAATGATTTTATGGATAAACAACTAATCTAACCCTAGTTTTCTACGGTCCTTAATACTTCCTAGTTCCTACGAGTTGGAAATTAACTCTATATTATAATCTCAAAAAATTAAAAAAAATGGGTCAAAAAAATAAAAAACACTGACAAAAATGAATTTTCATGAATGTCTAGAAGTAAAATTATACAAGATATTTGTTTAATTTTGGAACAAATTTCAATTATGTACTTAGACTTTGAAAAGATTCTGGAATTTTATTTTTAAAAATTATCCTTAGAGAAATTTTTAAAAATGATATTAGTCTTTTATATATAATTAAAAAGTTTGAGTTATAAATGATGTCACGTCCCCTTAATTTTTACATATTAGCTCTAAGGTAAAGAATTAAAATCAAGAATTTCAAATTCTAGGAGCATAATTGAAACATAACTCAAAAGTGGGGAGTATTTTATATAAGTTTAGCTATCAGTTTAAAACACTATTTCTGACTAATAGTTAATGAGTTCGAATCCCACTTGGAGTATGAAAAAAATATAATTTTCACCATCGAAAGTAGCATTGTGATGGAACCCATGAAAATTTATTTGATCAAGATTTTGACCAAGTCCGTGAAGTTCGACTCAGGCAATGGTTGACTCGGTGGACGAGCTGATGTGATAGCAAATAGAAGACATGCAAAAAAGAGTAAGACCGACCTATACTCTAGTGAGAATATAGTTTCGTATACCTGATAATGAGGTGGGAGATCTCTAGTCATAGACGAAGCTTCCAAGCATCTAACAAGCCTCCAACGACTCTTCGACAATCCAAGAATCAAAGCGTGTTATCGTGGAGTGTGTCGGATATCATTTCCTAAAGGAGAATCCTTTATTTGACATGATTGTAACTCAAGCTACAGATATGGAGATTACAGGCTTGACTTGACTTGGACTGCAAGCAGCCAGGGTAAGAGACATAGGTCGGTTCGTCCAATGGATGGCTTCTCAATCGGTCTTTTGGATCGACTCAGATTCTTTGGAGAGTTTCAAGGTTCGCTATTTTCACCCCATCAAATATTGATACGTGAATAGTCCCTATCAAATACTGACACGTGAGTAGTGAGAAATCACATTGATACAGTGTAGAATCAAAAACTTTAAACCAACGTCCTATCAAGAAATGGAATTCGAACAAGATTGTGTTAAAATTTGTAATACAAGTGTAGCGGGAATTGATTTTGAGAAAACCATGAAATCAAATCACCATGGTTGAAAATGAAATTCAACGATCCGACAACCAACGTTCTCTGAATCTGACGGCAAAAATCAAGAAAACGAGGGAAAGAAGTGGCCTCCCACCGTCTGATGCTGAATCCTTACCCGCTTCATCTTCAATCAAATCTTATATAAATCGCATCACTCACACTTCTCAACTCACTCTCTTCAGTGCTCCTCCATCGCCAGACGTAGCACTTACTCGCCAGATTCCGCCGGAATCGTCTCCATTCTGCCTTGTATCGTCGGAAAACTCACCGGTAAGTTCCAATTTCTCAGATCTGATTACAGCATTTGTTTCTTTGGCTGTAGGAGATGTGGAAAACTTCATATCAATCTTTTATCTTCTTCAAACTAAGGGCAATCGGTCTTTTTCGTGCTCAGTTTAGCTCTCTGTTCGTGTTTCTGGTAGCGAAGTCACATGAATCTGCGACCTGTGTTGTGTGATTTGCTTGAATTGTACTACATTGTATAGTATTTCATTTCCTTGTTTGGAAAGCCTCCGATCCGATGTCTATAATGACATTTGAATGAATTCAATCCAATACAGAGGAATTGAGTTCTGATTTCTTATTGATCTCATCTTGGTGATCTTGAATTTTTTATACTTATGTTCTCTACTAATCAAATCAATCGAACTGTATCCTTAACTTCGGAGTGTTGCTGTGCGCAGTGAGAAGATGAGGGAGATTCTTCACGTCCAAGGAGGTCAGTGTGGTAACCAGATCGGATCCAAGTTCTGGGAAGTGTTGTGCGATGAACATGGCATAGATCCTACTGGCCGATACACTGGAACCTCCGATTTGCAACTAGAACGTGTAAATGTGTACTACAACGAGGCTTCTTGTGGACGGTACGTCCCTCGTGCCGTGCTCATGGATCTCGAGCCTGGTACCATGGACAGCGTGAGGACGGGTCCTTATGGACAAATCTTCAGGCCAGACAACTTCGTTTTTGGGCAATCTGGTGCTGGCAACAACTGGGCCAAGGGGCATTATACAGAAGGAGCAGAACTTATCGATGCTGTGCTTGATGTTGTGAGAAAGGAAGCCGAGAATTGTGATTGTCTTCAAGGTACAGTGCTTGATTTCGTGTGATTCCTTGGATCTCTTTAAATTTTTCATTATTGATCCGATTAGAAGTGTTTAAGTTGAAGGTTTAAGTGCTCTGATTATGATTCATCGGTTCTCTAATGCAGCCTTTAATTATGCCTTGAGATCTTAACGATATGATTTAGAGTGTTGAACAATGGATCCAATATTGGAGTATGGTTTTTTTGCAATCCACGTGCGTTGCCTCTTTGTCTGAGTATATTATTAGAATATTAAACTCTTTTAAACACAACGGCTTCCTGAAGTTCAAAAAGTATATAAACGTCTTCTTTTGCTACATTACTTTTTGCTTTTACTATTGTTTTAAAAAGTGCACTTGGGTTTGAGCACAGCGGATCTTTATGGCCTCACCTGTTGTAAAGTAACGCCATTTGGGCGTGGCTCCTCTTAGTCAATGAGATCCATGGTTACTAATTAATTAATTAATTTTGTTCAAGTTCTTAAAAGTTCTCTCTTCTGCCGTCAACTTTATCTGAGAAATGATGTAGCTTGCAACGTTCATACTCTAGAGATAGTTATTTTTCTGTTACATAGGAAATGCTACAGTTTCAAATCATGGGGTTTCTGATTTATAAAGTGGAAATATTACAGATTCCAATCGTGGGATTTATGATTCATGAAATGTTTTCAACTCAGTTTGTTGGGTTGACATTTTTGTATGTCTGTTGCAGGTTTCCAAGTGTGCCATTCACTTGGTGGAGGCACTGGTTCTGGAATGGGGACTCTGCTGATTTCCAAAATCAGAGAAGAATATCCCGATAGGATGTTGCTTACTTTCTCCGTCTTCCCTTCACCGAAAGTGTCGGATACTGTTGTAGAGCCATACAATGCCACGCTTTCCGTTCACCAGCTCGTCGAGAATGCAGATGAGTGCATGGTGCTGGACAATGAAGCACTATATGATATATGCTTCAGGACTCTCAAGTTAACTACTCCTAGCTGTAAGTATAACACCTATCATTACTTGAAAAACGAGGAAAACAAAATGTTGGGAGGAGTTGATTCAGTATTTCAAGAAATTCTAAAAATCTAAATCAATAATTTAGTTATAAAAATTCATGAAGAGACAGGCCAATGAGTATTAATCAAGAATGAAAGTATGAAACTTTAATCTTCTGACCCTGAATTTAAGATAACCACATAACTTTACCTGTCATTATACATTGCCTGATTATTTTTCCTGAAACTTTTGTTCTTCATGTCTAAAAAGATGGAAAACCATTTTCTTGTAAGACTAGAGCTGCACTTTTACAATCCATAAATGGAAACATGTTAAATGAGTTGTAAGATATGTCGATAAATGTGTAACTTATAAGCTAAAAGATATTTTATTAGTCTATCAAGTATCGCCAATAAAACTTCACAAGTTTTAGAAAAATGCAAAGCTATGCTTTATTTCATGCCTACTCTTGAGTAGTGGATATTAATATATATACATATAGAAGCGCCCATAAACATAGATCACTTACAAGGAATGATCATAACAATTAACATGTAAATTTTACTGTTTCATGTTATTTTGTTTTCTTCTTGATTTCTTTGCTACTGAAACAGTTGGCGATCTCAACCATTTAATTTCCGCTACTATGAGTGGGGTGACATGCTGTCTCAGATTCGCTGGCCAGCTTAACTCTGACCTCAGAAAACTTGCTGTGAATCTAATTCCCTTTCCTCGCCTACACTTCTTTATGGTGGGATTTGCTCCTCTTACCTCTCGTGGGTCGCAGCTGTATCGGGCTCTGACCGTGCCAGAGTTGACACAGCAAATGTGGGATTCTAAAAACATGATGTGCGCTGCAGATCCCCGCCATGGCCGATACCTCACTGCCTCTGCCATGTTCCGGGGCAAGATGAGTACTAAAGAGGTTGATGAGCAGATGATCAATGTTCAGAACAAGAATTCCTCATACTTCGTTGAATGGATTCCCAACAATGTTAAATCCAGCGTCTGTGACATTGCTCCTAAAGGACTTACCATGGCATCAACCTTCATTGGAAACTCAACCTCCATTCAGGAAATGTTCAGGCGTGTAAGCGAGCAGTTCACAGCCATGTTCAGGAGGAAAGCTTTCTTGCATTGGTACACTGGAGAAGGAATGGACGAAATGGAGTTCACCGAGGCGGAAAGCAACATGAATGATCTCGTTTCCGAGTATCAGCAGTACCAGGACGCTACCGCTGAGGAGGGCTATTACGAGGAGGAGGAGGAAGAGGAAGAGGAAGAAGGCATCCACGCCCACGATATGTGAGTAAACTCCAATTCTGTGTGTGTAATTTAGAGTGTATAATTTTGATGCCTATGACTATATATATGCTATTAGTGTTGAGTACAAGTTCTTGTGTGCTTCCTGTGGGTGTTTCATGCTTTCTTGGTACTGTTTCAGTATGTTGTGATGTTAGAGTTATCCCATCTTCACATTCTAGTTGAAGTTGTCAAGCATTGGGGAGAGAGGAGTATTTTTGTTTGTATGAGTTTCCACTTCAGGAACATCCATGGATTGTTTAATATGAAACCTAGCCAATCAGTTCCACGATTACATGCTTCATCTTTTAAGACTATGCTCTTAGCTTGCTTTTTTTAAGCCATTGTTCTTCCTCTATAATCCGCCATTGATCTCAAACTCTGATGCCATTTGGTAGTGATTTCAACATGAGTAGATGATGGCAAGCTCATCAACTGTATACAAAGTGAGAATTACAAATCTTTAGACAAGTAAATCAACTTAAAGCTTAGAGGTAAGAAAAACAGCCGAGTTAGTATCTACATCGTCCCGGGATGATCGAGAGCATGAACACTTAAGTTTGGGTAATGTGTATGTGTCCGTGTTGGACACGTATTGGACACTTGTTAACATAATAGACATGTGTTAGAGATTAGTTGCTCCAATTGAGTATGTGTCACTTATTAGGTAGTTGTAGAATACAAAACTTCGAAAAGGTTAAATCTTTCCGAACCGATGCCTCAATAGGAAAAATAAACCTCTGAGACTTGCTATGAAAAATGGAAAAATGGATCACAATATTTTGCTTATACAACGCAACAACAATGGAAGAAGTTAATACCAAGGAAAAATAGATTATTTAAAAAGTGTGAATTTTTAATTTTGTGTCTGATAAATTTTTGAAGTTTAAAAGTGTCTTGTTTCTCCGCTGTCTATTTTGTATATAATAGTTTCGCGATAAGTCTTTAACTAACTTTGAATTTTGTTCCTCATAGATCCATAGGCTATTAGATAGTTTTTAAAATTGACGGACCTAAACGTAAAGTTGAAAGGTTATGGTTCTATGGTCGGTGAATTTTTTAAAATGTCAAATAGGTCAAGATCATCCATAAACTATTAGACAATTGTTGCATCATGAATATCAGGTTAAATTTTAAGTTTAGTCTATAAACTTTCAGAAGTTGTGTCTAATATGTTTTAAAAGATTGTCTAATACGTCTCCAACCTATTAGACAATTTTTAAAGGCCGGAGGCGTATTAAACACAACCTCCAAAAATTAATAGACTAAAGTTATAATTTAACTTATCGTTCACAATGCAACAAAGAAACCTACCCTTTGCTAAGTGTTCTTAGAATACTTCTAGGATTTAGAAGTCCTAGAATTAAGGGACATAAACAAGATTGAATATTAATGTAAGAAGGGAAGAGATAAGAGATTTCATAAGATTGAATATTAACATATCGTTCCCCAGGCTTAGATATTAATTTAATTTATATAATTGAGGAAAAAATGAAATTGTAAAAATTTAAAGATAAAACTTTGTGATACCATATTAGAATACTACTATGCCTAAAAACTTTGTGATACCATATTTTTTAACTATTGTATTTTCTTATATATATAATTTTTTATTTCTTTTACAAAATATTTTCTTTTTTTAATTAAAAATATTTTGAAAAATCATTTTTTAACTTTTTTTTAGTAAAACATGTTGGAGGATGGATTCGAACTCACAACCTCAACTATCTCTGAACTATGCTCGCTTTGACAAAAATTTATTCTTTATTTAAGCATAATAATCTAGACTTTAAAAATATATATTATAAATTATATTTTCTTTAATGAATTATATTTCACGAGTATATGTTATATATTTGTTATATTTTATATCATGTCTACTAAATTTTATTTTAACTATATATATATATATATATATATATATATTGTTTAGATTTATATCCTAAATCAATATGTCATAAGTTCAAATCTCCACCACACAAGTTGTTGTTTAAAAAATAAAAACAAGAAATAGGAAATAGTTATGAAACATATTTTACCAAATGGGTCTTAAATAGCTTGACACACACACATTAATTGAATAAATACTATTTTCATACTTTTTCTCAGGCTATTTTTTTTTTTTTTGAGTATAACATGTGGGGTGGGGGATCGAATTCACAACCTTATGGTTGGAGGTACATGTCAATTACCGCTGAGCTATGTTCGCTTTGGGGCTAAAAATTTATTTTAGTTTCGGATGCTTGTACATCTATTTAAGATATATTTAAACCAATGTATCGCCTTTTAAACTGATTAAACAACTTAGTAAAAAGAACAATTTTAAACCAATATAATGTTTTTACATTCATGTATTCCACCCTCAAAATGTTCATATAAGTATTTGATACGTGTTTACGGTGCTTAACAAGAGTGTTCTGCTTAGCCAGTGTTCGATATTGTATATAACAACGGTTAAAATATATGACACGGATATATTATCCAAAATTAATTACCTCTAGGATAAACTCTAGCTGAGAAAATCAGTATCCTTTTTCCCTACTCCATAAAGAATGAAAATTGGCATTGTTCAGAATCCTTGAAGGAAAAGGAGTTTGAAACAAAAAGAAACACCCTTAATTAATACTATTTAGAAGAACGTATTAATGTTTATTAAATTTGTGCTTGATCTATATTTTCCATTTTGAGCACAAAGTGTATTAGGACAATTATCCTCCCCATAATTTTACAAATAGCACGATATTATCTACTTTAAACTTAAGCTCGTACATTTTCTGCTTTTGTTATCCATTCAACAAATTATACGGTGAAAATGAATCCCTTTCTACCAATTAAAAATAATGAGATGAAATGTACAGCAAGGTTTAAAATAATGTCGATGTGTGATTACTGAAAATGTCGATGTCGATGGATATTTCTATAAAATTGAGAACTCGACATTTTCATGGACATCGACATTTAAAACGGGAAATTGACTCAAATAACCTAACAAAGTTTTAACTTTGCTCAAATAACTCACCCCTCGAAAATTGTTTTGATTTAATTGTACTTAAAGCAATGAGTGAAATTTATATAAATGGGTTGCAAGGGTTGACCCACATTATTTTTGAACTTCTCCAAAACATAGGCCATCCATCATAATGATATTTTTGTTAAGCTCATAATATAAACATTTCCTTATATATATATATATATATATATTGATTTTCCACTTTTTAAAAAAACAGAAAATCCTGAAAAATGGGTATGATTTCAGAAGCACTTGAAGAAAAAGCAGATAGAAAGTAAAACACAGAGAAACAGATGCATATTTTCACACACACCAACACTATCTTTTGCGAGTTTTATCTTTTTCGATCAAAGCTGTGACAGCCCTCCAACTTCTGCATCATAAATCTTAAATTATTGCTGCCACTTTTCGATGTTTAAAAATAATTGATCGAGAAATTATTGGAGGAGGTCGCCAGAATGGCCGGTGTAATAACTTTCCAGAATGGAGAGAAAGTTTGAGGCATATAGATTATTCGAGGATGGTCATAATAGCGTTCCATACAATTATATGCCTTTCGTGCTTTAGCGGGCTTTGTTCAACTATTTTGGACATGCCTCAACCGTTAATTTAGTGGCAATTGCATTATGATCCCATCATTCAATTATTACAGTGCACACAAATTTCGAGTATGCATCCAACCATTATTAGGGATCGCCAAATTAAACGTGGCTACCTCATCCAATTATTACAATACACGGTTATTAGGAGTAGTAGTCACATATATTATAGTCTTCTCTCATGATTTAACTACATATCAGGGATACATTTAAATTTCTAATCTAAATTATCCAATGGTTAATATAGGAACCGTCACGTTTGTGTGGCTACCTCATTCAATTATATATTACAAGAGTACACATCACGGATTTCAAACATGCATCCAACAGTTAGTAGGAGCACAATTACATTGTGACTGTCCCGTCCATTAATTTTTTTTTTTAAAAAAAGAGAGAATTCTCCCTTTTTCTTTCTTTCTTTTTTCCACCAGAAACAGACACTGTACAGAAACATACACTTGTTGGGCAATGATTCAGAAAAAGAATCCAAGATGGGTGGATGGATGCAACTCATTTTCTCTTTGGCATTTTTCTCTCCAAGAATTTGAGAAAACTTATGATGCTCCTATCAACTTCTCTTTTCTTTTCCTTTTTCCAATTCCTCAGATCTTATGCATGTGAAACTTCATCATTTTGCCCCCACTCTCCTTCACTTTTTAACATTCTCCTCTCTCTTTCTCTTTCTCTTCTTTATATCAACCATCCACATCAAAAATAATATATATTTTTTGGAATTTTTGAATAAAATTAACTTTTTATTTAAAATGGAATAATCACAACTTTTCATAAACGAGTGCGTCTTTTCTAAAGTTATATCCAGACATAACCTTAGATAGGACTATTTGAATGGCCACAAATAGTCTATAAATACGTGGTTCTTCTCAGTTTACAACACAGAAAAACTATCCCTAAAAATTCTCTCTTTTCTCCTCTGTACGAGTACTTAAATATTGTGAGTTCGTTGAGTCCTGTGTTTGAAGTGCTGCATTCGCAGGTCGGTATATCCGTCCTATCTTGAGAGACAATTGTTCATGAAACCTTGAGCACCATAGAGGGAACAAAATTATCTTAAGGAAACAATGCTACATTATTGGATTCGGATTTTTAATTTTGTGTTTCCTTAAGTTTTCTATGCATATTTCTCCAACACAATATTAGGTCACACTAGAATTTTTGTTCTTTTACTTTCTGTGTTATGATTGAAAGGTTGGCACGTGGAGAACGAAAATTGAATCTACAAGACATATTATACTAACTAATTAACTAAGTTCATGTTTGGCTGAAAAATTATGGTTCTATGTGATGGAGATTCAATCTGACAATTTATTTATAAAATGTAATAATAAATCAGTTTAATGATGTAATATCACTACAATAAATATCATACATATGAGATAGCATTTGAAAAACGCTAAATATATTTATAGTGTTTTTCAAAATGCTATTAGAAGTCCTTTTTTTTTTTAATTACGATAATATATTTTGTTCTAATAATGTTCACATAAGTCGAAAAATATATGAATTTGGGTAAAGTATTAGAAGAAGCACATAGAACTTTAACTAGATATCATATTACTCCTATTATAAAGTGCTACCCACAGGGCTCGTTTAGATATTGGTGCACTTTTCAGAGTACAGCTAGAAATAAATTAATAATTTTTATGTTGGATTATTTTTGTTAATTTTAATCAAACAACAGAGATTAAGCATGGAGACTAAATAATTAATTAGATCGCTAAAGATATGTATCATTGGATCTTTTTAAGTGCATCAATTTTTAGTTTCTTCTTTCTATTTTAAATATTCAAATTTTGCTCCAAAGTTATTAAAAGTTTTCAATCACGCCCTGGACAAATCACTTGATTTAAACTGAATAGTGTGATTAGTGATTTCAAAAGATATTATTTTCTATGAGTTAAACATGTTTTCCATCAAGCCTGCCCAATTATTAAAATAAGAAGATCAGAAAGAACGAGTTGTGAATTTGCAAAAAACAAACGTAATTCAATTGTAATTGAGATATAATTTCCGACCAAGAAATTGTAAGTTCGATCTCCCACCGCACATGTTGTTGTACTAAAAAAGGGTTCGTATTATAATATAGAATCTTGAAGAGACGGGTTTTATTAAAATCCCATCAAGATCATCTTCTAAAGAAACAATTTCATTTTTCTACTTGTTATTGAATCCTCAATCCATCTCAAATCATCTAAAACGACAATCATACATAATTTTTGAATAAGTGCAAGAACGACACTGTTCGAGGAATGGAGAATAAATAGTAAAGTTTCACAGACAAAATGGATAACTTTTAACACCAAAAAGTGGTTCCAAAACCTTGAGGATTTCCTTACCAAGGCTTGTGTACCATATGGAAATTGACCTACAATGTCTCATCAAATTATTAACTTCAAAATCATTCGAGAAAGAAAACAGTACAAAAAAAGTAAAAAAGAAAACATATTATATATGTTCGCTACCTCATGAGATGGTATACTTTAGAAATTAGTAATTTTTATGCATTTTTCGGCTCCAAATATTGTAGGGTCAAACGATTGCCCTATGAAATTAATCGAGGTGCGTGTAAGCTGACCCGAATTACACTCACGGATATAAAATATATATATATGTTCACTAAAATAGACGCTATTAGTAAAAGACCAACCAAGTAAAGCTACGAAACAAAATGAAAATGGAGAACCTCACCAAAATTAAGTTCCATTTATATGAAATTATACAACATCTCATGTATTTATCAGAGAAAGATCCAAATAAACAAACAAACATAAAAGAAATAATTGAAGTTTTGAATCCATTTTTATTTGTAAACTAGCTAGGAACCTTATTGTTCTTACTCAACTTCTTCCCTCTTTTGATTTCTATAGAAAAAGAGTCATTTTAGGAATGGAAATGGGGCGGGATATATAGGGTTAAAAAATCTCTCATACATCCTCGACCCCATCCTATTTTAGATTAAGAAAGTCGCATCATCTTGTTCAGAGTGACTTCTTCTCTCTCACAGAATTTTTTTTTTTTTGTCATTTCTAAGTGTTTATTCGATAACGTTCTCGTTTCTCGTTTCTCGTTTTCTATTTTCTAATCAAGAAAAATAAAACTACGTTTTAGTAACTTTTCTTGTTTCTTGTTCTTTCTTTTCTATTGAAAAAAGAAACAAAAACGTGTTTGGTAACCATTTTTAATTATTTTGTTATTAAAATAATTAAAACTTTATATGAAATTTAATTTTTCAAATTAAATATTCAATTCCTTTTGTGTTATATTTTTTTTAATATTTATTGTGCATTTTAAAACTAAAAATGATTAAAAAAATTTATCTATATTTTCGAAAAAAAAAAACTAGAAACAGAAACGAGATTCAATAAACTTGATTTTGTTGTTTCTAACCTTGCTACACAATTTTGGAAACGTTACTTTAAAAATGAGAAATGAAAAACATAAATAATTATCAAATACTTATGTTTTTAAATAAATTAGAAACGGAAACGTAACCAGTAACCAATAAGCCTGAGTGACTCTCAAAGTTATTAAAAGAACAAAAGGGTTGGAATACTAACTAAATGATTATACGATATATCTATTTGACAAATATTGATATATAGTTAAATAATAACTTAACAATTTGATTATTTGTAATGCACCATCTCTTTCTCTAGATGTATTAATTAATTAAAGGTTTAAACACTACTTTGTTGGCCAAAACATGTGCAAAATTTTAACACAAACATTATACCCAATGAAAAACCTATATCCGTGAGTGTCCTTACACTAATACATTTAGTGTTGGGAAACACATATGAATTACTAATTCGATTGTCATCATGGGTTTGAATTTATTCCCTCTTAATTATCCCTAACCCATTTGGATCAATGAGCCACTCATGATGGCTAAATTTAATACAAATTTATAACTACAATATTTCTAGAAATTTAGTGAATGAAGTGTGTCATGCTAAAATTTTGATTGAAATAAATGAGCTAAACATGAAGATCATGGGACCAAAATCTCACAATTTTTTTTTAAGTACAGGGAGGATTAAAATGTACCAGATTTGAAAGTATAGGGATAGCCAAAAAAGGATGTTTTGAAACTACAACGATCAAAATGAAACAAAAGCGAAATCATCATGGGTGGTCTTATTAGTCAAAAAGAGTAAGGTAAATAAAAAAGATCCAGAGAGAATGGGTCTGAACCCAATGATTGACCACCTACTTAGAAATTAATTTTCTACGTACATCCTCGACAATCAAATATAGTAGGATTAAGACAAAGATTTAGATGTGTGGTTTCAGAGAAGAAAGGGGTTTTTGTGGGTCACAATCACATGGAGATAGAGAAAGGGCATGTGATGTAATGCACAATATGTCCACACTATTCCTTCAGAACCTCTGACCAAATTCAACCCTTATTCTTTTGGATTTAGAATCTTCCTCATTATTCAATTCCCATTCCTAACAAACCTAGCTCCCTAACATCTACCACTGCTTTCTTTCTCTCACTTTTTTTCTTTTTACGTGTTTAATTTAAAATTTATCTGAGGCTTCGGAAGGTTATATGGTACTTTTTTTTCCCTATCTTAAGATTTGACTCATAAAAGATATCTGAGTACACCACCATTTTATATATAATATGTAGTAAAAATAGATTTGTTCTCGGGGATTGAATTTCATTGATCACTTAAATTCACTTAATGTTTGAATCAGTGTTTTTATTAATCATTGTGTTTTCTTTGCAAACTTCCCCTCGACAGATCTATTTTTTACCACATATTATATATAAAATGGTGATTATATTGTTGAACTTGAGGGGAAAAAAATAAAACTTAGGTTGATTTTTCTATCCTCTACCAATAGTTTTTGGAATTTTAGTCTAGTTAACTTCAAAAAGGCTAATTAAAAGAAATGTTGTTTTCAAAAATGGGTTTTCAAAAAATTGATAAACAATTAACTAACTAAAATGTGTATAAGAAGAAAGAATTGGATAGGGGTTCCGATTTACGCCTTTATAGTATTTAAGGAAACAATTTAATTTTGACAAACAAGTCAACACAAGAGAAACGAAGATGGTGGCAAAGAGAGGAACAAACTATTATTCGAAATGGTCATAATCTTCTTAGTCACAAAGCACCCGAACCGAACAACTAGGAGCGAAAATGGCGTATAGAAAACAAGCTCAAAAGAAACACACAAAAGAAGAGAATTAAAGCCATAAGAGAGTACATAAGAAAGCTCCAAATTAGGGAGTGGGGGCATATAGTAGGTGGGCATGAGATGGCTGGATTTGTCCTAGAAACCAGAGAAAAGTCTCGAAAGGGCAAAAAAAACCAATATTCTTTTGAAAGACAGGGATCAATTTGACATAAAAAAAAAGAAGCAGCATATAGAATATGATCTTTCACTTCTCAGTTCCAAAACAAATAATAATAAAAAAAATTAATTATATTATTCCTTCCTTTCTAGACACAAAAATCATCCCCCACTTTATTTTATTTTTTTTCTTTTCCATCTCAATATATGTCACGGGCATGCCTTGGGATGTACAAAGAAGGAAAATAAATGAATAAAAAGCCTAGGAATGTTCCTACCCCCTCCCCTTGCCTTGTAATAAAATATTAATTTTTAAAGTGTCGGGATATTCATAGTGTGATCAAAAGAGAGCGATTGAAAGTTATAGAGAAAAGAGAAAATGTGTAATGTGAGTTTAGAGAGTATGGTTGTTGGAAACTTAGAGAAAAAACAATGAATAATGTGTAGCATATGCTCGATTTGTTATGTATCATACACATCTATTTCTAAAGGTTAAATGTTCAAAACCCGTCTCAACATTTTGTCATGCTTAATTTAGTCAAATAAACATAGAATACTTTTAATTACGATCATCATCTGACTAGCTAGTATTATATTGTAAAATTTTATCGGTGGAATGATAGTTACTCATTAATAAAAAGTTAGCTTTAAATTTTGTTTTAGTATTTAACGTTTTCATGCCTATTATTTCATTTTAGTTTTTAAATTTCCATGCTTATTTAAATATTGTGTCTATTAATCATTTAAATTCAAATTTATCATAAAACATGTTTTCATTTTACATATAAACTCCAAACACATTTTTTTATATGTCAATCTAAGCATAGCTCAACGGTAAAGACACCTATGTCTAAACAAAAGATCGTGAGTTCGGGTCCTCCACCCTACATGTTGTACTAAAAAAAACATTATATTCCTTCTTTACTTGAAAATCTCACTAGCTCAATGAATAAAACACCTACATTACGTAAATAACACCTTGAGTAGAGAGAGATACAAGTAAGTAAGACAATAATTATAATAAGCTTTAATGATAGGATAGAACAAATATTTGACATGTGAAGGTCATGTGCTTCTCAAATTGGTTTATTGAGAGAGGAAGAAGAATATTGGCATAGTCATATGTTGTTGTTTCATAAAGTAGAGCCAATTATAATAATGAGAGAGAGAGAGAGAGAAGTGTGTGTATATAGAAGAAAGAAGCGAAGGGAAGTGGGTGTAGTGAGTGTGTGTGTGGAAAACTGGAAATGGAGGAGAATATTATTGAGTGCGACCAGAAGGGCAATCCGGCGCCGTTTTTGACAAAGACTTATGATCTGGTGGAGGATCCTCGCACCGATCACATTGTTTCTTGGGGCCAATCTCACACCACTTTCGTTGTTTGGAGACCCCCTGAGTTTGCCTCTCACGTTCTTCCCAACTACTTCAAACACAACAATTTCTCAAGCTTTGTTCGACAACTCAACACTTATGTATGAATCTCTCTCTCTCTATCTTCTTTCATATTTCTTTCTCTCTCTCCTGATCTCTCGATCGGACGATACGGATGTAGAGTGAGAATTCGAACGCCTATAGCCGATCACTTGTGAGCTAGGTGCTTTGAAGAGCAAGAGTTTGGCATACATCGTGCAATCATTGTTTAACTACTTGAGTTAATTGCACTTAAGTCGGCTTTTGATGGGATATTCAAACATACGATCTGTGAGGGAGACGGTACTAGTTAGTGACTAGCTTCACTGTCTCTTAATTTAGTTGGATTTGAGCCGGTGAGATTTGAACCTAGCTAGCCACCACTTGTAGAGGGCTTAGCATGATAGGAATAATACAAACTCGACCCACAACCTATAAAGCGAGACTACGTTAGTGTCTAGCGCTTAAGAATGACCTAAGCAATAATGCTCATGTTCACTCTAATCTCTTAATGGAATTCAAACCTTCCAACTTATGAAAGTAGACATTAGTATATTTAAGGCACTTAACTTATGCTCATGTTTACTCAGATATTCAGAAACGAACTCAAATCTAGCCATGGACTGAAGAATTAATAGAGGCACTAGTCCTATATGGCTAGGCCGAGTATAAACACCAACAAGTGCTATTAATATGCTCAAATAGCTAGGATCTCTTTGATCAAAGAAATTATTCAAGGGAGCTAAACTAAACATAAGATTGACGGTTTTAAGCGGAAAGTAAAAACGGCTGAATTTACTATGTTCTTTGTCATGCATTCGTTGGTTAGAAGAGATCAGCATCTAACTACTTGAATTATACTCGGGTTTTTTTCTCGCTCTAACTAATTTTAATCTTGTGATCCACAGGGATTCAAGAAAATAGTAGCAGACAGATGGGAATTTGGCAACGAAAACTTCAAAAAGGGAGAGAAAAAATTACTTTCAGAGATTCATAGAAGAAAATCTCATAATAATCACAACATTAATAACAACAATAATATCAATATAAATTCCCACCACCAAAATCCATTATTCCACCAATTCTTCCATCTCGACCACGAACCACTCACCCTCTACTACACGGCCGCGACCGCCGCCGCCGATTCCGACATCCTGGAGGCGCTGACGCAAGACAACCGCCGTCTACGGCGGAGAAACTACATGCTGTTATCGGAGCTGGCCCAGATGAAGAATCTCTACTCCGACATCATCTACTTCATCCAGAACCACGTCAGCCCACTCCAACATAAAACTGCCAGATCATCATCAGTTCCCAAATTGGTGGAGCTGGATTCGCCGCCGCCGCCGCCGGCCGCCGGACCGGAGGAGGGAAATGGAAACGGGACGGTGAAACTATTTGGGGTTCCGATCAGAGGGAAGAAGAGAGTGCAGCCGGAAGAGGGTGAGCTTCAGATGATGAGCTCCAATGGCGGATTATAGAGTTTAGATTATATCTCTCTGCTTAGAAAAAAGAAGGATTTTTTTTCTTTTTTTATTATTTTGCTTCTTTTTTTTTCGGTAGTGAGATTATTATTAAAAAAAATTGTACATAGATATTGATGGAATATGATCGGGATGTTTTTTTTTTGTTTGAGTACAATAATTTCAAGATATAGGGAATCGAACCACTAATATAAGTATACAACGATTATTGTTGAGTTATACTCAAGAATATTTTAATTGAAAATGACGACTCGCATCATAATTTTATTAAAAATAAAATGAAATAAGAGAAGTTGGAACGAGGTTGTAACCTTTTCTATTTCATTTGGGTCATTTTTCAATTTTCTAAATTTTTAATTTTACTTTTAATATATTAAAAATAATCCATGAAAACTTTTCATAAAAATAATAATTACAAGTTGATACACCTTCAAGTTCGTATTCTATCAATGCATTCGAATATATAGACATATCGCTAACTTGATATAACTACTTCATGCATCAAACTTAATTTGACAATTAAGAAAATTTATTTTTTCAAAGTGGAATATCTCCAATTAGTATACTTACATGTTTTAAAGAAAATATATATATATATATATGCCTACATATTCGAATATATCAATAAAACAATAATTTAGAGAGATAAATTTTTATATCACAAATTTGAACATGTACTTTTACTTTTTAAGGATCTAATTAAGAATTTCAATATCATTTAAAAATTTAACCAAAATAAGGATTACTTAAAATGTTAGAGAGTATTTAGTATGTTTAATAGTTCCTTTTCGTTTTCGTCAACCTAATTAAGTATAGTTCAACCGATTAAAATGATGATTCAAATTATTATATATATTTTTCTTCCAACCTTCCAAGTAAGAAACCTACCCTCTTCTTTTACCATGTAAATAGATTAATACAAATAAGCCAAATGTAACATGTATAGGCAAATTGGGCCTTTTTTATTTTTTACTTTTTACCAAAATTGATATCGAATCTTAGTTTTTTTTTTTAATAGGAAAAAACTAGTTCAAAAATGGGTCAAACCATTAACTTTGGGATGATAATAAGCTAAGCTTGAATTGACAACAAAATTAAAAATTGATATTGAAATAAATCCTTTTGAAGAATTAAAATATGTTTGGTATGCAATTTAAATTAGATTCTTCTTTTCACATTCATTAAATCAAAATTTTAGATTCTATTGAAACTTGCAACATTTTTATGTTTACTGTGTTCTCAAATTTTAAATTTGAAATTTCTTAAAATGTAGAATTACATTAAAAAAATTTATTATTATTACTATTATTTCTTTTTATAAATATACTACTACAAGTTAGATGTGGCTCAATGCTCATATTAGCATCAAAATCAATTTCAATTAACTCCCAAACCAACCCAAACTAAATCTGAATTGATTTATATCTACCGGTTTGTAAAGTTTTTTTTTCTTTTTTAGTATAAGGGTAAGAATTGACTCAGAACCTCCTGATGGGAGATATATGTCAGAGCTATATTCGCTTTCGCCACCGATTTATAAAACTAAACGATCTAAATAGCTTTGAATTTTCAATTTTATGAAACCAAATCACTAAAGTTGTTTAATCCAACTTGGTCAACTTTTTCATCTTTAGCTTACACTCTTGAGTATGTAAGTTAGTGCTTTAAACAGTCATCTCTATTCAAATATAGTTTTAATCTCTCATTATCAACTATTTAAATTCTTCGATTTCTAGGGCTTGTTTGATAACCATTTTAGTTTTTGGGTTTTTTTATATTAGGTTTTGGTTTGTGGTTTTGTGTTTTTAAAAAACAAAAATCATATATGTTTGATAACCTTTTTTGTTTTTTGTTTTTACGAAACAAAAAATCAAAACATATTTCATAACCATTTTTAGTTTTTTGTTTTTAAAAAGTTAGAAAATTGAAAATATATATTAGAGAGAGAAAATTTTATGTAGAATAGAGAAGACAATGTTGTGGGTGCGAGTGAGGATGCTCTCCCCCATTCTTGGGCTCCTAAAAAGTTTTAGTCTCCATATCCACCTCGTTCTTGGGTCCAAGAGATGTTCTCGAGAAAAATTATCGGTTTTATAATTGTTTATAATTATTTTTAGAATTTAAGTATAAAAAAAGTGTAATAAATATATATTAATTATTTAAAAAATGGAATCGGGGACGGGGACGGGGTCAGGACATGCATTTTCTATTTTTGGGACCCGACCCTGCAGAAATTTTTGTCTTTCCCTAATGTAGACACATGAAAATAGGGATGTAAATAAATTTTTGGAAGATAAATTTTAGAGAGGTAAATAAAAATATTTATAAAAAAATAGTGAAATAAAAGTTAAAGACAAAAAGAGAAACATTTTGGAGAAAAAAATAAAGTCGAGAGGAAAAGATACGTTAAAGAAAAAAATTATAAAGAAAGAGAAAAAATTATAGTGGAAACAAATTTAGAGATAAAAACAAAATTCAAAATATAATTTTTATAGAAAATAAATAAATACAAATATAAATAAAAGTTACAGTGAAAGAAAATTGAACGAGAAAATAAAATATAATTTTTAGAGGAAAAAATAGATTACGAATATAAAGAAAAGTTATAAAATATGAAATTTTAAAGAGAAAAAACTTAGGAAAAATATTAAATTTTTAGTGATAGAAATGGAACTGATCTGTTAGAAAAAATATATATAAAAAAATTTGAAGAGAGACAAATAACCTTAAATATTCAAAATATGAAAATTTTAAAGAGTCAAAAATAAAGTTTTGTAGAGAGAAATTTAGAAATAAAAAAAAATTAGAGTGAAAAATAAATTTTTTAGAGATAAATACGAGAAAAGAAGTTGACTATTAGAAGAAAAAGTGAGATTTTGAAAAACAAAAACCTATTTTTTGAAAACTATTTTTACTTTTTTTGAAATTTACATAAAATTTCAAAATTGTTTTTAAAAAATGAAAAACAAAAATTTGAATTGGTTATCAAACACCTCTGTTTTTTAAAAACTAAAAACCAAAAACCAAATGATTATCAAACGAAGCACTTAAATTTTCAAATTCGTACCAATATTTTCTTGTTACATTGAATTGAAAACTTGGTAGACTCCTACAAATTTTTGTTTTAAAAGAACACATAAGCTGATATCTTTATCAATAAATTCATACGCAGCATTCAAACTATAATTTCAAAAAAAAAAAATTGTTTTTATTTATTAATAATTTAAAAAATATTTAAATACAACTTTAAATCAAGTTCTCAACCAAAAAACACCACCTTTTTTTTTTAATTTGTCTAAAGAGATGGAGAAAAAGTGGAAAAGACATGTCATTTACATCATAATCATGATCATGAATGAATGTTATGATTTTGAGATTGTACAGTTTCCTAATTCTTAGAAATAGAATCTTTGCCTCCAATTACTTTTGTCTTGTTCGGATCCATGTGGTCACACATCATTTACAATTTGAGAACGGTACCTTTAAATTTATTTTTTTCCTCGAAATTCAACAACATATGGGTTGGGATTCAAATATGTAACATTTTGATTGAAAATATATATCTTGTTATAATGGGATACCAATTGCTTGGATGCCTTTGTTGAAAGTCTTGCGATAATTTTTTTTTTTTTTTTTTAGGTTTTCTAAGTTTGTCTCCTTTATCCATAACACGCGTGGTGATGGGATTGAACCTATGTATGGCGAATTCAGTGTCTTTATCCTATAGGAGAATTGCACCTTCTTAAATTCGCTTAACCTACCTATGCATGTTTACTCTTGTTTTTCGATTGCAATTGATTATGATTTAGGATGTATAATTGTCTAGCTTATGTTTCTGGCTCCTCCCTATCTCTTGTTATAATCTTGGAAACTTCATCTAGAATTTTATTACCTTTCAATTCATCATCGAGATAACTTATGGGGTGAGATTCAATTTCATACTTAAAAGAACATACTTGACAATATTCCTCAATATTAAGTTGCAACCAATACAAATTGCAATAGAAGTTCAAAACATCGCAAACTATTTCGACCTTATGGTTTTTGTCACTACTTGCGAGAAAAACATTTTTACGTCTTTATAGCAACGCAAATTATGGTAACGTAATATATATACGCCATTGAAGTTCTATAGCAATCTCCCTTCTTGCGGCAAAATTATATAGCTAACACCTATGAGGTTTTAAAGATCGTAATTCTTACCGTGACTGTCAGCTACCCAATTTTATACGTGTGATCTATAATTCTTTTATCGCTACCAACACCAATCTTCTATAATGTTTGCTTATTTGTTATTTTCAATATTTTTATGATGAATTTTTTGAATTTTGTTATTTTTCTAGATGACATTGTATTCTAACAATATTTCTGAGATATAAATAAAAGAAAAATGAATGCTAAAAATCTTGCAACCGATAGATGTTCATACAGTTTACACACAGAGACATTTTAGTCAACATGTCATTTATATATTTGTAACTGTCCAACTGTGGCAAGACATTATAGGCCAAATGAGTTTAGACTCAAGAACAATTGGTTGCTAAGTAGTTAAGAATGCTAGATGGCTTTTAGAGCTTTTTATATTTTGTAATCTCTCCTTAAATTGTTTCTTTAAAATGGAAAGTGCAATATTTTTTGAGGATGTAAAGGTTAAGAAACATTATCAATGAACTCAACTCCCATCGACCTAAAATTGAATTAGTCTTTGAAGAGGAAATCATCGCAGCTGGATTCTCATACCCACCATTTATCCAAAGATACAATTGTAGGAAATGATTTTATTGGCATGAAAAATGTTTTTAGCACATCTCAATTTTCTAAAGCTAAAATCTGAAAAAAAATAGTTCATCGATACAATTTGGATATATTTTGTCGATTTCGGTTGGTTTGGTGATCGATTTTGCCAATTAGATCAGTACATCAGGTCAGATCATCAGTTTTGGCCAAATCACCATAATCGAATCACTTACCCCTTTACATCATTCCTCTCTAAGACAACATTGAGATTCTTCCAATACACTAGTAGAGCAAACTCGACAGACTAGAAAACATGTCACTAAGGTCTATAAAGAGGGCAGAAGCGCAATTATAGATTTTTTTTTTTTTATAACTAGGAATTTTAAACTTTGTTGAAACTTTGCTCCCCTATATCCAATGGTACCCACACCCGTCCAAGAGACATCAAGGGAATTATAGATTATTACATTGTATTTCTTTGAGTTTTTTTCTTTTCCTTTTCTTCTTTTTTGGTTCTTTTTTTCCTTCGGAGTTCATCGACCTATAAAATGGAACAATGTGATGGAGACAATAAAAAGGATGAAGTTGCATTTTCTGAGCATTACATAAATATTAAGCTTTCAGCAGCCAACTCCTATCAGAAGTGTGCGATTAAGCAATAACAAGAGCCAAGAATATCTAGGGAACCCTGAGACTGATACTAAAGGGCATACAAAAATGCACAAAATTATGAGGAATGATGCAGGTGGATGAAAATGAAAGCACAAGTTAGCATCCCTTTGATCTTACACGAAGTCGCCCGTTTAGTAGATGATACAATAGCCTCTTCCGTCCCCATCGCCAACATCTTGGAGCCACAGCAGCGTGTCTTCTCTTCTTACGTGGTTTTCCTGCATAAG